TGAATATCTCCAGAGAAGGAGACTCCACAACCTCCCTGGGCAGCCTGTTCCAGTGCTCTGTCACCCTCAGAGGGAAGAAGTTCTTCCTCATGTTTGGATGGAACTTCCTGTGCTTCAGTTTGTGCCCATTGCCCCTTGTCCTGTCGCTGGGCACCACTGAAAAGAGTCTGGCCCCATCCTCCTGACACCCACGCTTGAGATATTTATAAGCATTTATAAGGCCCCCTCTCAGCCTTCTCTTCTTCAGGCTGAACAAGCCCAGCTCCCTCAGCCTTTCCTCATAGGAGAGATGCTCCAGTCCCGGGATACTATCCAATAGTTCCTCATCTTTCTTGAGCTGTTCAATAATTCCTCATCTTTCTTGAACTGGAGAGCCCAGAACTGGACACAGGACTCCAGATGCAGCCTCACCAGGGGGAAAAAAAACAAAACAAAACAACAACAAAAAAAACCCACCACAAATTATGCAGTCGAGTTTCCTGCATTTGGGGAAATCGCAGGGGTCAGCACACCCGGAGTGCGAACTGTGAGCCTCACATTGGGAAAACAACCTGCCTGATTGTGGTGTCTGCCATAGAGATGGTGGTGTCTCCCCCTGATTTCAGCTAGAAGAAATGGGGTGTGCCAGAACAACTTGCCTCTAGAAAACAAGTGTGTATTCCCTTTTTTTTTTTCCCTAGTTGCTTCTTAGAATAAAAGGGTGTACTCCTTGCCGGTTAAGTTATAAGTTAGGAACCTGTTAATACTTGGAGATGAAAAAGGCAGAAGAATATGATCAAATAATAAGTGCTTTATTTCTTTTTCTACTGTGCTGATTTTCAATCATGAAGTGTTTGCAATCCCTTTATCACAATTGTCTTATGTGGTAATGATTATTGTGTCACAGAGGATTGGTTTTGGCAGCTTGGGCTTTGAAAGGTAATAATTCCTAACAAGTTCTGCATTCATACAAATACTGGTTTTAATTAAAAATGAGGGCCAACTAATACATATTAACCCAAGTATTTTTGGAGAACGCTTCTGTATTCATCAGTTAACTGAATCTAAAAGCAATGTTTGTGATTATAAAATATATACATATACATACAATCTGTGTAATATGTTATCCGCATTAAAAGTCAACAAACCAGTCTTTTTATCGTTCTGGGAAGTATTGTTTATTACACTTAGCTTTTTATAATGCCTTTCACAATTGAAACACTGCGATTTGAATATTGCTGTTGGAGTGACTGTGTAAGCAAACAGAATATTAATGAGGCAAATACTCTTCATTTTTGTAGGCATTACCGCCAGCTCCAGTTCAGAATCATACAAACAAGCATCAAGTATTCAATGCATCTCTCCAAGATCATATTTATCCAAGCTGTTTTGGGAGCACTCCAGATTGGAATAGCTCTAAATTTATAAGTCTTTGGGGATCAGAGATGATGAATGACAAGAACTGGAATCCTGCTACATTTTTGCCTGATACAATTCCTGGTGAGGGTTTGTTACTACTTCAGACTGTCTAGTTAAAAGCCTTGTGTTTTGAAATGGAGTGTGGCACTTTTTTCTGGGAATGGTAGGTTTCGTCATCATGGTTTTATAAGATGGAATTCTGGCAGAGGTTTGCTGCCACTTCTGTTCCAGTGGGGCTGAAAATTGAAAAATAAGTTCTTACGTACTGGGGAGAGGATGCTAAAGGCAAATAGCACACTTTTCCACCTGCGGTGATTGTAGAGATATTTTTGTTTTCAGAAGTTTAGAATTGCAAATGGGAATTAAAGGGAAACTTAAATAAATTTTGGTCTTCTGCCACAAAGGCCTGCTCTTGTCCTACAAGGTTGTAAGAGCACTGGTGACATGGTACTACATGCTGCCACTTATAATGCACGGAGATAACTGCGTTGTCATGCAAAAAGACAGAGGCAGAAGTCAAGCAAAAGATTAATTAAATACAGGAAGCCTTTGGAAATACTAATGGTTAAAGTGAAAGAGAATAGAAGAGACATGACATCTGTAGATAATATATCTTTCCATTCACATCATAGCAAATATTAAAATGCCTTTTTTATTTTATTTGACTGGTATGCAACAAGAAGCTTGGTTTTGTGTGCTGGCTTTTTCAAGACTGATCTGTCACTAGCTTGTGTCAAGCAACTACAGTGATATTTAAAAGGAAAGGCATTAAAAACCTCCGGAAAACTTCCCTAGTAGCATAGCTCATCCATTTACAAGTGTAGTTACGGGTGGCTGTTCCACAGATGGTTAGTGGCAAGCTTGTGTGGAAGGTCTGTCACAAAGATGTTACTGTAGTTAGCTGGAATTACCGATATGTAAAGATAAGACTTATGATCTTATATTGATAGAAGAGTATGTTGCTCCTGCTTATAATTGTTGCATGGCTATCCTGGACTTCAGATATTGAAGCTTCTGTACTTACGACGTAAAATGGTGTCCAATTTAAATTTTTTAAATTATAAGTGTATAAAGATATCTGTAGCATCTTTGCTTGTTAACACACATTTAGTAGTGTTCTTAAAATTTTAACTTTAAGGCTTGTGACTTCTGCTCTGAGACTTCTTAGCACTTACTGTTGCAGGTATGTTATTTGGGGAAGAGGAAGGGGGAGAGGAGGATTACTTCACTAATCCTACCAAGCCAACACTAAGAATATATCCTTGCTTGTCTGCTTTTAAATTATTGAGTGTTTAATTCTAAATGCCATGAAGACAATTCTGTGATTCTTAATTACTATGTGTGTTTCAATTGAAGGGAGTGATATATTAGCACCAGCACTCTCAGAAATAAGACCCGAAGCACTTCCTACCACATCTAGCAACGAAGCAACAGCAGTTACTGACAGCAAAGAGAAAAAAAACGCTGCAAAGAAGAAATGTCTGTACAATTTCCAGGATGCCTTTATGGAAGCTAATAAAGTTGTCATGGCAACCTCTTCTGCCACTTCTTCTGTCTCCTGCACAGCTACTACAGTGCAGTCAAGCAGCAACCAATTCAAAGTATCATCCAAGAGACCTTCATCGATAGGTAAGGATTTGTAATTCACATACAGCTTAGTAACTGAATCAAGTACATTTAGGTAACCATAAATATTTATGTGTGTTTATTCTAGTAATATTATGTATCTTGATGATTTTCATTGTTCTCTGGTCTTGCTACTCTTGAGTTGTAGTCCCTGTACTCCTGGATTAAAGAACTTTGTAAAAGACCTTGGTATTATAGTTTTGGACTGAACAGAAAGGTGTTGAAATACTACCCTATTTTTACAGAAGCAGAGAACATCCATCACTTTGGGTGATTGTTTGGGTAGTTAGTGGAGACTTGTTAATTATTTTTAATTGTAAGTGGTTTCTTTTTTTCCCCAATTTAGGTGAAGTGTTCCACAATATTAACAAAGAGGACCATAGACATTCTGCCCCAGTTGCACCACGAAATAGTCCTACCAGTTTGGCATCCCTTCCTTCACTGTCTCCTGCTGCACTGTCTCCAGCCTCTACACCACATCTTCCGAATCTTGCTGCTCCTTCTTTCCCCAAAACTGCTGCAACAGCCCCTGGATTTGTGGATCCTCATTCAGGTCTTTGTCCTACTACAGTTGCACCTCCTACTTCAACAACAGACAGCTCTGTAAGTGCCCCACCAAGTGTCTGCAGGTAAGTTCGTTTCTATTGTTGTTCTTTTTTGTAGTAGAAGGGGAATTAAAATACAGACACCTCTTCTCCTGTGCCAATGGTTGTAGCATGAAAGAGCAGCTGTGTTCAGCAGATGAGACCGTGTTCTGATACTTAGAAGGTAACTTGATGTGAGACTTTACAGATATAATTCCTGTTGCAGAATCGACTTACTGAGTTTAGAGGCTGAAAAACAAGTGTTCAGAAATGTGGCTTGGCGTCAATAAATCAAGCCATATTCTTTCTTACTCTGTCATTGTCAGCAGTGATTGCTGCTGCTGAGGCACAAACCTGTTGTATAACATATCTGTTTTCCATCATTTTGGCATTGCATGGCGAGCAAGAATAAAAAGCTGTGAAAACTTTCAGGAGTCTGTAGACAAATTTAGCTCAAACTATAAAAAGGTCATGCACTGTCTTGAAACCTGCCACATAGTAACACATTTTCCTGGCTGCACTTCAGACTTTTTAGGTATCAGTCCCACTATTTATACAGTAGGTGTAGTGTGGAAGGATGTTCTGATTTTCGAAGGTTTTTAAAGGTCTTGGAGGAGAGTTTGGTGGAGCTGTCTTCTGGTAGTGTTATGTCTTGTGGCAGACAGACAATGGTGCCAACTCTTCGATATGTCTGATGGTTCCAGGCAGAGTCATTGCTCTGAGTACTGTGACCTGTAGGGCTGTGATCATGGTTGCTATGAATGTAGTCTCCTGGCTATTGCAGTAGTTTTCAGAAGATTATGTGGGATTTAGGCAGAGTTAGATAACTGCATACCTGAATTGCTTCTGAAAATGCCCTTATTTCTGTTACCAACTAGTTTTATTGATGATATCACAAAATAAGTAACTGTTCTTTCATGCTTGAGAAATTATTGCAGTTTTATAAAGAAACTTCCTCACCTAGTGCAGGGGAAGATTTGAATATAGGCTATTTAATACAATAGAAACTCAACTTTTATAATCATCTGCAGGTGCTAATATGATAAAGTAACTTTAGTTAGTAAGGAATGAACTAGGAGAGAACCCAGGAAACAATTACTGTAGTCTATATGAATCGGTGATGTGCTATAATGGGAAAACTGCTTTATGCTCTAGTCTTTCAGTCTGGCAACTGAGCGACAGAAGTAATGAAGCCTTGATTTCTAGGGAATTGTATCAGTTACCCCAGCACGTGCTACTGCACCGTGCTGCTGGATGCTGTAATGCTAACTCTCCACAGGCAAGAAACAGTGATGCAAGGGCTGCTCAAGCTGACTAGTCAGAATGTTTGCACTGACATATATCTCCTGTTACATGCAACAGCTTTGCATGCCTCTTCCTTGACGAGGATACTGAAGCTGAACAGTCTTTCATTCTGTCCTGGTCACTAATTCTTGACGAACTTATGGGGGTGGGGGGGCGGGGAAGGGAGGTTAGAAGGCAGATTCACATATACTTTGCAGATAAGACATGTTATGGACTGTTTACAACTTTCTAACATAAGAACAAGGAGATACTAATGCTAGACAAGTGGATTTTTTAAAAATACTTATTGAAACAAGATCACATCAATTTTTTAAGAACTGGCCTTCGCTGGGTGCAGATTTATGGAGAGCTCTGGAGGGAATAAACTGCTATGTAGCTGCTTATTGAAGAGACATGCTAGTATTTCCCCTTGAAAATAAAGGTGCAAACAGGGTAATGGGAACATTTTGGTTTTAGCTGACCTTGAATTTTCTATTTAAGTCAGGAGCTTGAAAAATCTGTCTAAAACCAGGGGATTTTAGAAAAAAGTTGAGTACTTTGCCACTGCACAGCTCTCTTCAGACCACAAGTGATGAGATGGGTAGCAGTTTCAAAACCATTCCATTTAAAAAAGCTAAAATCACTACTTTAGGAACTATTTTAGCTGTTTAAAGCCAGGAAGAACAATTCCAAAACTCACTCTCTAGGCTTCTCGCTCAGTGAGTCACACATAAATCACTTTCCCATGTATCATCTTATCTTGCTGCTTGGTTTTGAACATCTCCATCTGCAAACTGCTGGATTAAGGCTTTAGGATTTGATACATCACTGGTCACTGATAGCCCAGTTTGAGAGTCATTGTTCCTGGTAGATGTACGTATAATGTCTATGTTTTTTTTCAAATACCTTATTTATTATAATCTAGAGTTTTTATAAGCTTTTTCTTAATTTAACATAGTGATCCTGATTGTGAGGGCCATCGCTGTGAGAACAGTAACACATATGATCATCAACAGTATGATGGAGAGGAGAGCCAAGATGAAGACAGCTGTTCAGAGCATAGCTCCAGTACCTCAACATCCACAAATCAGAAGGAAGGAAAATACTGTGACTGCTGTTACTGTGAGTTCTTCGGCCATGGAGGAGTAAGTTGTTGGATTTTAATTTTTTTTTTAATTGCTTGTTTGTCACTTACTCATCATTGATTGCATGTGATTTGTCAGACAGCAACTAAGAGGGTGGCATTGGAGCTCACTCAAGAGAAGTAGTAAAAGGAGCATGGTTAGAAAGTAATTTTCCTTTTTGAAATAAAGAACTGAAACAAATCTTTCTACTTGAAAGCAATTCAAGAACAATAAAAATGACTAAAAGATTTAGGAAGCAACTGACTCAGGTAATAGATACCATGTTTGACTGAAACTGCAAACAGGGCATTTTACAGAATTCATGCACCCATCTGTAGTACTGTAATTATAAATAATGTGATGAGTTTGGGTAAAAGTACATTTAATATAGGATGTCTTTTTAAATGTTCGTGGCAATTTGAGCTATTCTGCTATCTGTAAAATTAGGAATCATCAAAGTATTCACTTAGATTTTTTTTTTTTTTTTTAAAAAAAAAAAAAAATCTTACCTAGAACTTAGGTGGTGTAAGCTTAAATTATACTTCTATCAAAGGAAAACCCAAACAGCATTTTCCCTGTTTTCAATATTATGAACAATTTTCTTTACTGGTGCATTTTGATAGGCACTGACTTGTATTTGTATTTAAAGGATGTTTTGAAGAAATTATGAAGTTCTAAAGTATGCAGGTTATACAAAATCTTTCCCTTATGTTCTTTGTTTTAATACTTAACGCTTTGAAGCATCCTTAACTTCATACCAGTAACATGGCTAGTGAATTCTTGTATCTTTTCATTTGCACAAATGAAATACTAAAAGCTGTTAAGTTACCACATTAATTTTTTTCATAACTTAAAACTTCATTTTCCTGCTGGCCTCATTTGTAAATCTGTGTATAGTCTGTTTCAATAATCAGTTAACTAGTCGAATTTGAGTCTCTGGTGTTTTTTTTCCTATTTGAAGTAAAAGTGTAGTTTATTGGCCGTGCGTTTGATCAGTTTGCTGAAGTGGCAGAACACTACAGGATTTTTAAGTTAATGGGCTTTGCTCGTTTAAGGAGTTGAACTGGTGTAGCTCCAAACAGATGGTCACCGGATCTGGTGCAGGAGGGGAGAGGGTGAGGCAGCAGGAGGGGTAGAGGAACGAGGAGCTGAGAGGCCAGAGCAGTGGATGGGAATACAGGTAGGAAACATGACACAAGGATTCGACTTGCAGCAGTCTTAACAAGTTATTGATGCGACTCTGCTGGAGGTCTGCTGGCACGCTTCAGTGCAGGGTAATCAAACCTTCAGTTACAGCCCAGAGGCCCCTGTAGCCCAAACACTGAAAGAGACTTTGCAGAAGATGGAAACAGCAGCAAATGTCAGCGCCTTTCAAATTTTCAAATGTGGTATACCGATCACAGGAGAATATAGAAACCTCTTTTCTTGCTTTTGAAGGCATTTCTTTCAGTTGGAAAATAGAGTTCACAAGCTAGCACCAAGTCTGACAGGTTTGTTGCCTGTGAAATACACGTTTAGGTACACCTACAAACAGTAAGGAGTTTGATATTCAGGTTTGGGCCTTCCATGTTATTTGAAGGTCTCTAAAATTTCAAAATCTTAACAAGTCTTAGATCAGTGAAATTTTTACGTTTAGTCACTAAATTTTTGTCTCGTATTCTTCAGCCTCCAGCTGCACCAACCAGTCGAAATTATGCAGAGATGCGAGAGAAGCTTCGTTTACGGCTAACAAAAAGGAAGGAGGAACAGCCGAAGAAACCAGATCAGATCTCTGAAAGGGAAAGTGTTGTTGACCATCGAAAGGTGGAAGACTTGCTACAATTTATAAACAGCTCTGAAACCAAACCAGTAAGCAGTTCTCGGGCAGCCAAGCGAGCCAGACATAAGCAAAGAAAGGTAAGACGTAAGAGTATGTTTATCCTAGACCTCATGTTTTTGAATCTGTGCACTCTCTGTAAGTATACTGCTGTATACTGTCTTTATAATAATGGTACAGTAGTTTTCTGTGTAGTTTGTGGTACACTGCCTGTTTGTGTATACACAGCTGGCTTACCTGTTCTGGTGCTACCTGAGGAGTTTAATAGGCTGGGAAGATTAGTCACAATGTCGTTGTCGTATGTTTTGTTGCAAGTCGGCTTTATATTGGAGTTTCCCACACTTCAGAAAGCTATTTCTAAGTGTCAGAAATGTTAAGAATTTGATTGTTTTGTAGAATTGACATTTAAAAGTGGGGGAAGTTAGAAAATTAATGTTTCTTTATTGGGATAACGGTTATGATACAGTACCTCTGTAGGAAACCAGGAAACATAAGGTCAGTGCTTTTATGACAGAGGAAGAGTCAAGATTTGCTATTTTTAGGATGATTGCACGGGGCACCTTACTGTCCTGATTGAAAGGGGTTAAGTGCTGTGCCACGTGATAGCATGAGGGGCTATCCCAAGCCAGACTGAAGAGGCAAGTTGCAGAGAGGGGGCAGGGAAGAAAATATTACATGTTGCTTTCAAATGGAAATTAGTAAAAACATTTATAAAAAAACTCCAATATGTAACAGTGAAATTGGTTTTTGAAAACAATACTTGCTGAGTTAATAGAGAAAATATATATCTTTTTTTCCAAGTTGAACAAGCAGAAAATTGGCTTCTCTTACTGCAGTTCAAGTATCAGCCTTAGGTATAAAGTTCAAGGCGCAATGAGATTGGTTGCTGAATGATTTTGAGTTCTGGTAAGCACATTGGGTGGCTGCACTGTAAATATTTTTTGTTTGTGGATTTCCTTGCTGGCACTAATTCTGCATTCTTTAAATGTTTCCGTGGGTTTGGAGGACCTGATGTTCACAAGTTATATTCTTTATATTCATGTTGTAGCACTATTCAGCAACTTGAGGGCTAAGCAAGTTATTTATAGGCAAAATTCACTTTGCTCTTTGCGTTTGCTTTGCAATGCAGTTTGAGTGTAAGAAGTGGAAGATTCTCACAGGGTTTTTTGCATGATTTCTAGAACGGTGAAAAAGTAATCCCATATAGGCACTTCTAAATGCGGAAGAAAATAAATGGACATGATTGTTCTCAGTGTATGCCTTTCTTTCATTTTGCTAATGATGCAAGATCAATGCTGTGCAGCAAAGTTTTAGGCATTTGTAGTAATGGCTGGAAAAAAAGCCCTTGTGTCTCTGTTTCATGTGGTTAATGAACTTGTGGCTGACAACAGAAAACTTTACCGTTCTTATTATTTTTGACAACTTTTAATGTAGCTTTAATGTACTTAGTGTTTTTCTGTAAAACGTTTTTAATCATTGCTCTTCCTAATGTTCATGAACACTGAAACAGAGCAACTCTGCTATCATAGCAAGAGAACAGGTAAATGATGCCACATGGTGCAAACCTGAATTACCTTAGTAGTACATGCAGTTGTTGAGAATTGTCCTGGGTTCGGCCAGGACAGGGT